CAACAGCAATCTAAATGAGGCAGGATTGGACCAAACAGTACTTTTACTTCAGGGCACTGGAGCCAAGAAGGCCCTTTCTCCCTTCTCCTATATGTTTTCTTCATTTGTGTCCCCCTCTTTGTGACCCCGGAATATGCACCTTGGCAATTTCAAATTGGCAGAGATGGTGTTAGTGTATTATAGAAAGTAATTTATGGCTTTGGCCTGGGGGAGACTGACAAGCACTCTTTAGAGTTTGAAAGGACCTTCTAGAACATCTAGTCCAATCCCTTACGTTGCCCATGAGATGGCTCAGAGAGGTCACTCGACTTATAAAGGAAATGCAGGAAATTAGCGATGAGGTCACTTGAATCCTGATATAGGAGCTCAGTGCTTGAACTAGGCATAAGGGAAAAGGTGAAAACGTAAGGGCACCAGTGTCTTTAGATTTCACACTTCGTGACTGTAGGAAAGTGATGGAAAACACCGTCTTACACATTTAGCTTGTAAGCCTCCAGGAAAGGGAAGATTGCACAAATTCTCCAAATATTTGATTATTTTAGGGGATTTTTGAGAGACCTCTTCCCCCTCCTGTTAAAAAAATATAAAATCTTGGGTCCCCTGGGTGGCTCAGTTGGTTAGGCATCTGACTCTAGGTTTTGGCTCCGGTCATGATCTCACGGTTCGCATGTCCGAGCCCTGCGTCGGGGTCCAGGGTGGCAGCATGGAGTAAATAGATGGTAAGTCTATTATCTCATTAGAGATTCACTATACTAAGAGAGCATGATGGTTGTCTTTTTTAGGGCATTGCCTTTTCTCAGGGGGAAATGATAACTTAATCATGAAATAATTATGAGAAAATTGACCAACTTTTTTTTTGGTGGGAAGACTGAAGCGAGATTCCAGTAATTATAGATAGCATAAATAATTTGTTTAATGCTTATTTATTTTTGAGAGAGAGAGAGACAGAGGGCAAGCAGGAGAGGAGCAGAGAGAGAGGGAGACACAGAATCCGAAGCAGGCGCCAGGCTCTGAGCTGACAGCACAGAGCCTGACGCAGGGCTTGAACCCACCAACTGTGATATCACGGCCTAAGCCAAAGTCTGACGCTTAACCGACTGAGCCATCCAGGCGCCCCATAAAATTTAAAAATATGCATGTAACTTCTAACTCCTCAGCAATCATTTTTGTGAGGTAATACTTAGGAACATACTGTATACGAGAATGAAACTTTTCAACTGTTATTCTTCATTCCTAATTTGTGCCGGATCATCAAGCAAGTGGAAATAACATCTATATATATTTCCAATTAACAAATGTAATTTTAATATTTTACATAATATAAGCCTCATTCATATGAAAGAATCCCAAGGACTCTTGATCTCTGGGGTTGTGGGTTTGAGCCCCCGGGCAGGATGTAGAGATTGCTTAAAAACAAAATCTGGGGGCAGTCGGTTAAGCGTCCGACTTCAGCCAGGTCACCATCTCGCGGTCCGTGAGTTCGAGCCCCGCGTCGGGCTCTGGGCTGATGGCTCGGAGCCTGGAGCCTGTTTCCGATTCTGTGTCTCCCTCTCTCTCTGCCCCTCCCCCGTTCATGCTCTGTCCTTCTCTGTCCCAAAAATAAATAAACGTTGAGGAGCGCCTGGGTGGCGCAGTGGGTTAAGCGTCCGACTTCAGCCAGGGCACGATCTCGCGAGATCTCGCGTGATCTCGCGTGAGTTCGAGCCCCGCGTCAGGCTCTGGGCTGATGGCTCAGAGCCTGGAGCCTGTTTCCGATTCTGTGTCTCCCTCTCTCTCTGCCCCTACCCCATTCATGCTCTGTGTCTCTCTGTCCCAAAAATAAATTAAAAAAAAAAAAAAAAAACGGTAAAAAAAAAAAAAAGAAAAAACCAAAATCTTGGGGCACCTGGGTGGCTCAGTTGGTTACGCTTCGGACTCAATTTCGGCTCAGGACACGATCTCAAGGGTTGGAGGATTTGAGCCCGCACCTGGCTCCTTGCTAGTAGCCACCTGCTTGGGCTTCTCTGTCCCCTCTCTCTCTGCCCCTCCCCAACTCTCTCTCTCTCTCTCTCTCAAAATAAAGAAACATTAGAAACATTAAAATAAAATCTTAATAAAAATAAAAGTGACGTAATTCATGATTGAGCCATTGCTTAGGAATAAAATAATAATTATAGTCAGTTGGTGTGATCGAAGATTTTTTGGCCAAGGTTTTTCGAAAACGTTAACAATACATAGAGACAGCTTGTGGTGTTAATCATGAGGTTTTACATGGCTACATGTCTCTGAATCGGAAACCATCATGCCTTGCCTTCTTGACTTTGAAACATTCACAGTTCTTGCCAGGTTTTATCCTCAGCTGACGATGCTGGATCCCCCCACCCCGCCAAAATCTTTACTTGATTTAGAGTGGCTCTACATCTGGATGCCCATATACCTGAAGTGTCTGGATCTGAAATAAAATCGGAAGCTGGAGGGCACTGGACGAAGGGGCCACTTTAATTGCCTCAGGGGGTCTCCTAACCAGTTTTCATTTGCCTCCGTGGTGTCCTTGGAGAAAGGAGAATGGAGGCTGGAGGCAGAGTAGGAAGCCAAGGAATGTTCAAGAAGTCCCTGGAAAAAGCAGTAGGAACGTAGGGCACCGAACTTGAAGCAACGCCACCAAAGACCACGTTGTCTTTGTGATAAGAACGTGGTAACCATTGTGTACTCCGGCTTCATGATTTTACTTCTTCGTCGCGGTAGGTACAGACAATGGCCCTCCCGCACTGTTTACTAGTCAGCAAGGCCAAGCTACCCGGGGGTGTGAGCATCAAAGACATAGAGACTCGACCATTCTAGAGGAATCGTGGGATAATGCACGCACAGGCCCTGGAGTTAGGGGCTAAGGGTTCTTTTGCATTTGCTTTTTGTTTTGATGAAACAACGTTCGGAGCATGATAATGACTTCAAACTGGTAAACAAGCCTGGAGACGCCAATGGCTGGCTGCAGCTCCGGTCGCCACTGCTCCTGGAGAGGGAACCCGCTTTCTCCGCGTAAACAGGGGCGGTCCGGAAGTCATGCGTAGCGAGAGATCTCCGCGGGCTCCCCGGGACCGAGCGAGGCCGCGGGGTCTGGAAGGCTCAGGGGAGGGGCGCAGCCGCCCGCCCCCCGCAGCAGCCGGGCTGGCTGTAGGAAGGGATCGCCCATTCCCGGGGCCCTTCTGCTGTGGCGCGCTCAGCGTTTGGGCAGTGCCCGACCTGGTGACCCCGTCCAGGGGACGGGCGCGCGGGTTGGGTCTCCAGCGCTGCCCGGGACGGTCCGCGGCCTCCCTCGCTTCCTTCCCGTCCAGACTGTGTTGAAGGAGCCAGGTGACTTGGGTGCACGACACTTAGGGTGGGGCCCAGGAGACTGTCTGTGGCGTCCACATTGTGGATTCCTCCGAGCCTCAGTGCGTCCGTCCGACTCCCAGTGGAGCTGTTTCAGGGCACAGAGGGAGGCAGTCCGGGGTGCGGGTGAAAGGGTTAATGTGCAGGAACGGGGTGCACATTGAGGTGTCTCTGCCTCCAGCGACACGCAGCCGAAAAAGCTAGGGGCTCCAGCATGGTGTCCCCAAGAGGAGGGGACCGGAGGGGATGCCGACTCCAGCTGGAGTTTGAACCGTGTGAGTCGTTTGACCTTTCTCGGTCTCAGGTGGCACCTTAAAGAGGTGTGACGGGACTGGGGAAGTCGTTTTATGGCTCGCAAAGCGCTCCCCAAGATGTAAGGCGGCCCCGCTTCCCCAGACTAGACGTGCGCGGGGTCTCACTGGGGCCAACGCCGGCCCAGCACCTCCGAGCTCTGGGACCGCGTCCCTGGAAGGCATTCCCTACCTCGTGGCTTGGAGAGAGCCTTTTCCCGGCACGACCCTCCTCCGGCTCTTCTAGGCAAGCTCGGGGCCCGACGTCGGGGGAGGACCCAGCTGGGCAGGACCCCGCCGATCCGGCGCGCGACCAGTCTCTGACCCCGGACTCCATCCCCGGGTCCCTGCACTGTCCCCAGCCCTTCAAAGCGTCCACCCTCCTTCGGGTAACTCACTCACCAGAGCTCCCCGGGCCTGGAGGACGCACGGGGGGCAGCAGGCCGAGGGAAGGTGGGTGGAGTTGCGAGCGCGCAGGACGCTGGAGACCCCGGGGTCCTTCTGACCCCTGAGCCAGCGTTGGGGGAGGGCAAGAGGGTTTCCTAGGAAAGAGATGAACACAAAATTGGGAGACATTGGAGAATTTTACCCCCTGCGGCCATAGAACAACCCCCCCCCCCGACCAAACGTGTCCCTATCTCTGATTTCCTGGGAAATAAATTGCTGTCCCCAACCAGCTTCTCCTCGCTCTTCAGTACAGCGAGGTCCACCTTTGTGAGTTCTCGGTCTTTCCCACTAGGGCGTCGCCAGCTTTTCCGAAGTGGGGACGTTTCGTTCAGTCCCTGCGAAGCCATTGCGCCTTAGGCCCCGGCAGGTCCTCTCCGTCCTTCCCCCCACCCCCCACGCCCCGGACACAGCGCCGAGGTACCCGCATCCGCCGGCTGGTAACCCCGCTTTGCACCCGGCTGCGCCGCCTCCCTTGCGCTCCAGCAGTCGCCGAGGGCCACGATTCCCAACCCCCTCCCCCCCCACGCCCCGGGCAAGGTGGGGTGCCGGCCCTACACCAGTCGGCCCGGGCCAGGTGCCGTCTTCGGGCCCGGGTGCTGCTCCAGGAGACGCCGTGGCAACCCCGGTTACTTGCGTCCGGCCCCGGCCCGGCAGAGAGCAGCTGCAAGCTGGCCCGAGCAGCGGCCCCAACTTAATTTCCTCCCCCTAGGGGCATGTTTCCCTGAAAAAAACCTCTCTGCCGCTCCCTCCCGCCTTCCCCAAGGGACCGGGAAAAGTCCGAATCTCCATAGAAAAGGCTCCCTGTAAGTGCCCTGGGGAGGGTGGGGGTGGGGGGGCGCAGTGGGCGGGGCAGAGGTGGCGGAGAGGATTGAATTTCTCTCCGCTCCAAACCGGCCCTCGGCGGATAAAGCGCAAGTTTGTGCACTTGGTCGACCGAAGGATTGCAAACCCAGGAGACAAAAGTGTCCAGGGAGATGCGGAGTTTGCCCAGATTTCCCTGCGGATGGCTGTGCGGAAACGCCTGTGATGTGAACTTTCTGCAGATCGTGTACGGAGTGAGCTAAAGGAAAGGAGGAAGGGGAGCGGGGCGGGGAGGGCGCAGCGTGAGCGTGAAGTGTGCCCGTGTGAGTGTGTGGGGGGGGGGGGGCGGGGTGCCGGGGGGGGGGGGGGCCCCGGGGGGGCGGGGGAGGGAGTCGGGGGCGCCCCGCAGGCTAACGGGTGCGAGGCGTTCTGCGAGCGCTGGGAAAGGTCGTTGAAGGAGTTCGCTGCACACACACAAAATAATCATCTTAAAAAAGAGTGCCGGGCATGCGCACAGAGAGGATGCCATATTGGAATGAGGCTGTAGTGGGAGTCGGAGGACCCGAGCGGGCGCGCGAGGGAGGCGGCGGGCGGGGCGCGAGCCAGGCGCGGCGAGCAGGGGCGAGGCGGAGCGAGCGGGCGAGGCCGGCGTCCCCCCGGCGGCGCCCGGGGCTTGGGTCCACTCCGAGGGGAGGACGAACTTCACCAGGTAGGACGCCGCGCCGGCCGCGGTCCCCGCGCCCAGCCCGCCCCGCCGGCAGACCTCCGGCCCGCAGGTTGAGTGTGAGCCGCTCAGCTTCTTTTTTTCCAGCTTCGGTGGGGGGGGGGGGGGGGGGGCCGGGAAGCCCGAGCAAGCCCGGGCGTGGGAGGCTTGGGGAAGCGGGTGCTTCTCGGGGAGAGAAGCAAAAGAGGAGAGCCAGAGGGGAGAGCGACAGCACGGGAGCAGAGCCCCAAACTCCGCTCTGCGCTCCGGGTTGTCATTTTTTGGCTTTTCCCGTCCCCCCCCCTCCAACCTCGTCCCTGGGCTTTGAAAAGCCCGGCCTTGCGGGAGGCCGTCTGTAGTTGCAAAGCGTCCTCCTCCCCGGGTGCAAGCTGTCCCCTCCCGCCGCCCACCTTCCTCATTCGTGCGCTCATTTTAGCGACGCAGCCGCCCTTGCTGCCCCGCGCTCCCCGGTCGCTTCCTTGCTGGGGTCTCTTTCTTCGTCTTCTTCTCCTTTTTTTTCTTTTCTTTTTTTCTTTCTTTCTTTCTTTTTTTTTTTTTTTTTGGTGTGTGTGTGTTGGGGGCGGGGAGGGGGAAAACCGTAGGGTGAGGACTGGAGACCAGCCGTCAAGGGTGTTCAAAATCGTTTACACATTCGGAGTCGCCCTCTTGGAAACATTTGCCTGTGTAGCTTGAAATGAGCTTGTCAGTAGTAGTAGTTTCGGAGCGTGCTCCGGCATGGATGCTCTTTTTTTTTTTTTTTTTTTTTTTTTTTGCTTTAAAGTAATATCCTGTCACTTGGGGCTTTCCTGTTGTCTGCTCTCATATGACCTCCTTTCAAAATTGTTAATCTGATCTGGCTTTGAAGTGTATTTTTAAAATGTGTGTGTTGGTAAAAATCCGCCAAAAACAGAAAGAAAGAAAGAAAGAAAGAGAAAGAAAGAAAAGAAACAACTGTAGGAACTGCTAGATGTATTTATTGATTTTGAGCCGGGGCGGCGGGAGAGGGTGCACCGGGGACGGGGGAACCGTGGGGGTGGGAAGTGGTCGGTTCGCGGCGGCCGGACGCACGTCCAGAGCCGGATTTGTACTTGTGTTTTCTTGCAAAAGCGCAGCGACTGCGGAGAAGGAGTATTTAGAAACCGTGCCAGTTTCAATATGGCGGGCTAAGGTGGCTTTTAAAAACTGAAAATAAAGGTTTTGAGGTGGGAAAAAACCCAACCGGAGTTGCCCTCCCTTAGTTTCGACTCTCTTTGGCTACTCCGGGAGCTGTTTTAGCGAATTAAGTGGGGAAAAAAGAGCCCGAATGAGCTGCCCTAGTTTTTTCCGTGTTAAGAGTGTGCGTGTCCAGTCCATTGCTGGGGGGGGGGGGGGGGGGGG